AAACAACCGGGTGGCTGGCACTTATTTCTGGGTCTTATGACAAAACCACTCAACTCTTGGTGGCTCTTAATGGAGGGTCAAATGTAACAAATTTTCACTGAGTGGCTCTTAATTGAGGGTGGCGCTTGTTTGCGGGTTTTTACGGTAATCATCACATATCAATGAATGTTTATACATGGATGCTGTAGGACAATAGACAGACCTGGATAATTGTGGGTTAAAATCTGTACATATTAATTACCCAATTTGCATAATTAACCAATTTTAAGCTTTCACACTGATATCTAAAGTACTAATTTCCATTTTAATGAAACTTAGTACAAAGATGCTCTAGGACAATGTACAAACCTAATTAGTTTGGGGTCAAACTCTGTTCATATTATTTCCCCAATTAGCATAATAATTCATATTTTTTTTATTCTAATCACATTTCAATTAAACTTGGTACATAGAGTTTTTGTTACATTGCGCAGACCTCATTAGTTTTACAATCAAATCTGTTCATGTTAATTTTCTGATTTGCATAATTAGTTTTCAGCTAAGTAATTTCAAATAATATTTAATGTGTCTCCAATACTCTCAGCACATGGGAGTTCTTTCTAAGCTTTCTTTGATTTCTGTTTCCCGTTGAGATATCAATCTATCGCAGTAATACTTTGCTCTGTCAAGTATATATTAGAACGTATATCTCTTAGTCAAGCGGGAAATTACGAAAGATGTTGTCTCCGCCATAATTGAAATGAGAGGTAACTTGAAGAAGACGATTGAGGGCGTGATTTGGGATCCAATAGTCTCCGTGTGATGCGTATACACGGTCGGGGCCATGTCGGGTCTCAACCATATCGGAATTCAACCCCGAGGGTTTATTGGAGCCGAACTCGTATACACGGCCATTTTGATGGCTCGGGCCGGCTCGAGCCGTAGGGCTCTGATAAAATGCTGTCGTGTGAACGTAGCAATAGCAATTGATGTGTTATTTGAGCGTTTAGAAGTTGGAAAGGAGAAGATAGCATGTACTAAAAGAGATTAACAGCAAAGACCGCAACATTTTTCAGCATTACAGGTAAGATTTGTCAGGGGCTGTTCCCTGGCTGTTGGCTTGAAGGGGACAGAGTGATTAGTAAACAATGTTTACAGTGTTTACCAGCTCATCTTTAATTTAAAGTTGTGTTGTGAAGATGTGCATATGACACTCATCGGACAGTTGGATATTGCTCTAGTTTCTATTTATTCAAAATGTGGGATAAAGTATAATACATGATAAAGCAGCTTCTGAAAAGTTGACTATAAGGTAAAGGAATAGTCAATAAAAATTAAGCTACTTCTATTGCCAGATACCATATACTCAAGTAATAAACATATAAGTTGAAAACAAGTAAAATCTGTAAATACATTTAGTGGTATTCTGGCTAACATTGTCACAAAAAAAAGCTCGGTTTCCTGTAAAAGAAAACTGAACCACTCTATTAAAACAGAAAATCTGTTCGACAACGGACAAAACTGACATTTTAGTAAACAATTGTAAAATACAGCAAAAGCGTTGATCGAGACAAGGTTAGTGCAAAGTAAAAACGCGTTATTTTATCTACTAGTATATTCTATTGTGCATTATTTTTTGCGCATGCGCTATATATACTGCATGCATAAACTCAGTAATACAATAATTATTATAAATAATATCTAGCGTCGTCGCCATAAGGTCATGTGTGAATATCAAAGTTAATAATATAATGTAATAAGACATTATTTTTTATAAATTCGTACACATTAAGATATACAATGTCACAGGTCTCATTGTTCACTGGTACGGAATAGGGGTTATGTTTTCCTTATTGCGTGTAGCAATATATTCAGGTCTTCTTTCCCATGGTGCACTAAACGGTTTCCCAACTTTGTTTGATATGCTGTTATAAACTGGCAATAGATTCAATCTATCCCAGGGAGACATGTTGGTATGGTTACCATGCAAAACATTAATATCGCAAAAGACAACCGACCCAGCATCACCCACTAAATATTCAATACCGTACTTATTAGCTAAGTCAGTGAACAACTTTTGATCGGTTTCCCCAGCTTCAATTTTATATTTGGAAGAAGTTCCAAGTTGATTCTTTGGTGTTTCAGTGGGATTACCGACAAATATTTTGTGAGTGCCTGGTATAACCATCGTTGCACCTCGATCTGGGGTATTTTTGGTCAACATTATAGAACAAAACATAGCTCTCATATTCGGCATACCGTCTTCGGCGTGGAAGAATTCGAAGTCGCTATGCCAGTTATGACCAATCCCAGTAAATGCAGTATGGAAGTTAACCAAATCTTGGTGAATGTAGACGTCATCAGCTAATATCTGTCGAACATACTGTATAATTCTCTTGTGTTTTAAAATATCGTTCAGTTCAGGCATCTGTCTGTGTAACCCAAACTGGCTCCGTAGTCTTTTTGTTCCTGGTTCGGTTGAATACGAAATTTCTGGAGTGAGTGTTGGATCTTCGTCGTCTTTAAGGCTGGATTCAATCGCATTTTTATGTTTGTATATTGCATCGATTACCGGTTGTATCTCCTCTTGCGAGAAAAAGTTTGGCATTACGAAGTATCCTTTTTCATCATACTCTTTGAGTTGCGCATCAGTTATGGGTCCTGTCGGTCTAACACCGTTCTTATCTTCCCAAAACCAAGGATCAACACGTGGATATAACCCCGAAACAGATTTACGCGTCGGATAATGGTCTGTTACCACTGAGGCGCTTAGTGCTCTTCTGGAGACAGCAGCTAGCAGACTGGTACCTTTGATGGTTGATGATCTTGTGTTCTGCAAAGCTGTTCTGCTGAGCACTCGTTGCACGGAACCGAAGAGACGAGGGTATGACATGGTTCAAGGGTGATCTATTGGGAAAAACGATAGAAAGAATGAGCAGTGTCGATTTACCTATTAAATAACATCACAGCTTTATTTGCTCCGATGGAAATGCTGTGTGTGACGGGGGTCAGAATTTAATCACACACACCGACAGAAAAAACACCATAGCCCCACGAATTTCATTTCTTCATGTCAAGGCAAGGCAGCTTTTAAAAGGGCCATGACGAAACAATCTTATTTGAATTTTCCAGAAATTATTACACAGTATTATTATTCGGCGCAACAGTTCTTACATTTGTAAGAAATACTGACACATGTCCAGATTCGTTAGCGTTTTTTGAATAGAATTAGAATTGTTTGTGGCATTTAACATTGATTTCGTTTCATGCCTGGAATTATGTTTAAAAACTGTATTTGTTTGTCTCGTTAAAGTTAATCTTAAGGTTTTAAAAACGAAAAATCATTCAACACACAAAATAAAATGACATTGAACTATATAACATACCTTATTGCTTGGTGTTGAAGACTTCTAATGATAAGTTCAGCAACAATGGCAACCAGAGCTTACTCAGTGATTTCTGACTGATGTACGACGCAATGCAGGCAAGAATAATCTTAGAATGAGTGCCCTTCACTATTTAACTGTTTTAGTCTATATGCAAATTATGTCGTGTTTACTATTGTGATGATATTGCTACATACATTCACGCGATCAATCACGACGCGTGTTCACCCGACCCTATTAATGATCTCGTGACCTACATGAGATGTCGTGTGACGCCGAGCAGTTAGACCGATTTAGTTCGGGCTGACCTTATTTGATCAATATCAATATACGCGACGCGCCTCTGTTTGAAGTGCCAGATTGACCGTCGACGCGAAGACGTATGCTGCTAACTATTGTTTCACTTTTTCTGTTCTTTTGTATTGTGAAAGCCGAGTGGGTAACTGCCAGCCAGAGATAACTGTAAAAGCTCGTCCAAGACAGATTGAGCTAACCTATGTAATTAAAACACTACAAATCATACATATATAGTATGTTTATGTTGAAATGGGAAGCCGGTCCACACCCTGGACGTCTCAAACATCGTCATCAATTGTGTATAAACTGATCGGTAGAAATGCACTAAAAGAGCGGAGATCGTCTTGTTGCGTTCTGTTCAATATGGGACTTATTGTGACGTCTACAAAGCGTGTAAAATACATTGTTTATTCCATGGAACTGAACAAAATATTTTATTCTATGGGGCGCAAGGGTGGTGAACAGACCCGCCCCCCTCCCACGCAAAATTCCGTGCCGCCACCCCTGGCAATATAATAGATTTTGTTCCCCAAGGCGTTGATGGACAATGGTTATACTAAAGGTGACCTAAATCTTAACTATTCCCCCTCACACTTGTATCCCGTGACTTCAACGATCAGAACCAACAGGTCAGAATAAGTCGTACAGGTGATATAATTATGGATCGGTAGTGCTATTTATAGGAAATCTCATCGAATGTCACGATATGGAAGTGAAGAAGTTAATGATCTACTCGTAGTGCTGTACATACATGCATGCATGTGCACCATTGTTAACTAAGTTGCAAACCCAATTACTGACATATTGCTGTTTTGGAAAGTTTGACTAGTCGGAAAATTACAGCGAAGTGCAGGTAACTGAGTTATTGGTTGGTGAAAGCACATTCCTAATTTAACAACATGTAGAATTGGAAGACGTAGAACTGTCTTAGATAGACACCGACTCAATAGTATGGTATATTAGTGTATATCAAATTGTCATTTATTTGAGACTTGAGAATATATCATACCGGTAATAATCATGAACAAAAAACAGGTCATATACTACTGAACCTTCGATCAGCACCCCACCCAAGGCTCATCAAATGACTTTCCACCAAAGAACAGAATGGTTATGAACGTTAGGGCAAGGTGATATGTTCATGAATAGGTAAAAGCCAAAAAAAAGTCACATACAACAGTGAGGTACTTAAAACACGTGGCGAAATGTGAAATTCATTGTCTGTAGAGGTTTATGATGAACGGTCTATGCATGGAGGTAAACTGTTTTGGTAACGAAACGTCCAAACCAGGGCCGGATCGTCTTTTTTTTTTTACCAGGGCCACAACCGACCAGGGCCGGACCTTCATGACACCGTCTATGCATGGTCTATGGAAGGCTTAGCTACTCGCCATTTTGGAGTTAGAGCACAGTTAATTAGAGAATACCCATGACTTTCTCTATTAATAACGCTATAATGGGAATATATTTGGGAACATATTCCCCAACATTCAGTTATTTTAGTTACATTGGTAAAATCTAAGTTAGACCATGAAAGGTAGAATCTCAGACAACTAGATGTCTGAGGTAGAATGTCCTACCTTTCATGCTTAGACCATGGTGCTTTTTAGCTCCATGGTTGGACTAAGCACTTGTTTGTTTGACTGCAAGCCTACTACATTAAGACCAAACATAAACAAACTCAAGGTCTTCCACAAAAAGTCGAGAGTTGTAAATCTAACGTAAAAACAAATAAACTGTCGATAACGAGCTTTGGCCACACCCCGGAGCAAGCTCCATTTTTTAGTGGCGAAGGACTCCGTGATAAGAGTTGGGGCTAGAAAGGAAAAGGAAAATATTTTTTATTTTTTATTTTTTAATTAAAATTTCACTTAAACCTTTATTCTGACTATATAATAGACCTCGTATAAAGGCTATGACAATGTCTCTGGTCAGAGTACAGGCAACACCTAGGACAAAAGATCCAGTAAACATGCATATAATTATGCCGATTGTATGCCAAATTTATAATGATTGCTTGAACATTGGTCAAGATTTTCTTGAAATCCGAGTTAGATTTGAGGGCAAGGAAAAAAGTAGAAGTCCCTTTTGTGAATAAACTCCCGCCAATCAGTGTTCTCTAAGAGTGACAGCAGATAAACTGCCTTTTGTTTTATGGTTATAAGCAGGCTTTTTGTATTAATGTACAGCTGGTTAGAAACCTGAACCTGAACATGCATCTGTTTATACCTCCATGATCTGAATAAACACCTCAATAATTCTGTCCACAGCGCCCCGCAATGCTCAATCACGGCCTAATACAATAATGTTGTTACCCACCCTTACATCTCTCCTACACAACGTGTATCAATTGGGTTTATCATTTTTCGGGATTGCTCCAAAATTAAGTTTGTGCTGTTTTCGCGGCTTTAGCTATTTTCCCCCAGCCCTTCGACCGGAGTTAGACTAACCATAGAGCTAAAAAAAGTTTTGTTTAGCTCCACAGACTAACTCAAGAGAAATATTGAAAAAAAAGTATTTGAAATATTTGTCCTTTTCTATTCCCCGACTTATCATGGAGTCTCTTATTCCTATGTGACCGCAGCCCAGAGTACAGTCATGTAGGTTGGCATCCTTCCGCCGATCAAACTGTACTCTTGGCTAATGTGACCAAGGCTCATTGTCATTGTGTGTTTTGCTATGTTCTTGCTATGAATACTTTTTAATGTACACAATATCTGTAAACATAATTCCCACTACCGCATTTATACAGAACTTTTGAATAAAAAATGTTGTTAAAACAGCATTTTTGAGCTACGGTTTTTCGTCGATGTCTTTGACGTATACGGAAATCAATATATTCTTTTCATGTTATACAAGACACCGAACGCTCTGAAAATCACAATGAGTGATAGTGATAGATTTATTTACTACAGTGTTATTGTGCCTCTCGTTTTAAGCTGTTTCTAAGCGTGCAAACTGCCCTAATTAGTATTCATGTACCATGAATTTTCACAATCAGGTTGTCGCGTAATCTACGAGTCAGGTCACTTTAAAGATGGCGATGTAAACATGGTTGTTAGATACGCTCGTGCTATCTTCACAGAAATTCTGTTTTTTGTTTTTTTTTGAATATTGGCGATATTATTTTTCTGTCAAGAATTTTGACATTTATTTATTAACTTTAATATTTTAGTGGTGTAGTTTAGAGTCGAGATGTACGACAGGGATGGAAGATCTGGTCTAATACTAATACTGCAGTTCTCACGACAACGATGATTATAGGGTGATGATGTCGTACTCGTTAATAACAATGCCTTAAACGCCGACCAAAAATGGATACAATAGAAAAGTCTGCCATTGCTCTCCGTCAGGAAAAAAAAACAAAACAAAGAGGAAAGTTCAAAAGGGTCCCCTGTAATTTGAATATTAACTCTGTAGAAAACACGAGTAAAGCTGCGCATACCAGATGTGGGATAGATCATAGATCTATGGATAGATGTGTATGTTCAAATAATGTACTAGCTGTGGACCGGTTACTCCCAGCACGATGTAATCGGCAATGAGACAAAACACACTCCGTTGAAAGAAGGGCGCCGTCACGTGCGATTCCCCTTCTGTTGGTTGGTCTAGTCACAATCCTATAGAGGGACTGTATGTAGTTCAGTAAATTATTTGACGGGGTGTAGCATGGAACTCCATGTGTGCAGTGAGATGGCTCGGCAGTGATTGACTTGTTTGTTTATTTATGGTATTATCATGCTGGCATATGACGGGTGGTTGTTTATTTATCTTTCAATTGTTTATTCAAATTGGGTGATGAGTTTTCGGACCATACCAGTTGGATTCTAGGAGTATCTCAAAAAACGTCAATCATGGGGCTCCATAGTGAGCTAGGAAGTCTTCATTTAACAACAGTCAATCAAACTTCATAATTAGATCCAAAACTCCAGTAACGACTTTCATGTCAATCAGCTGGATTAGAGCGTGGACGTACTACCTTGGTTACCAAGGTTAGTACATCCATGATTGGAGAGACATCGCTCTTGATGGCAGTAGTTTGGTCAAGATTTTAATGTTTTTGGCAAAAATGAAACCCATTTTATGAAAAAGTTTCAATTATGTATAATAACTATCATGCATTTCTCTGCATATTTAAAATTCATATTGATCTTTATGTATTTATATGGAATAATATGGTGTATTTTATTATTCATATTTCTGTGAAAAGATATGTTTGTTGCAACGTTGTAGATAGCAAGACAATAACACTATGTTGATGAGTCAGTCTACTACCGTATTTATCCGGGTAAGAGAAAAAGGTTCCGAACCTTGTAATTTTAGCAGCTCGAAAATGTTCGAAGCAATACCAGTAAATCGGCTCTGCCATAGAATGATCATGGAGGTCTTTTTACCTCCATGGAATGATCGAATCTGTCGTTTTATGTCTTCATCATCCTTACAGTTATCAGTAACGACATATCTTAAATAAACGTGCTTTCGCACAATTTCTGTTTACAGTCACCAAGATATACGGGTGGAATTACTTCTTCCAAGGAATAAAGTACTAGTACGTACATTCAGACTTCTTAGAATGGTAAATAATATAGCCACCGAAATTAGTATGCTAATCCGAACCAAGCTGCTCTCATCGTGGTGGGAGCTCCGGAAAATGTGCAATTAACGATGTTTGGAGATCAGGCTGTGATTCCAAATACATTTCTACGGGGGCATGAATATGTAAACTAGCGATTACACTCGTCTGGTTGAGCTTTTGATGTATAAATGCTGTTATTTTCGGTCGAAACGTGCCGCGACCA